GGTTAGGTTAAGATAGGTTAGGATAGGTTAGGTTAGGTTAGGTTAGGTTAGGTTTAGGTTAGGATAAGTTAGGTTTAAGTTAGGTAAGGTTAGGTTGGGAAATAAGTTAGGTTAGGTTAGGTTAGGTTAGGTAAGGTTAGGTTAGGTTAGGTTAGGATAGGTTAGGTTAGGTGTGTGTGTGTGTATGTGTGTGTGTGTGTGTGCGTGTGGTGGTGTGTGTGTGTGTGTGTGTGTGTGTGTGTGTGTGTGTTGTGTTTTGTGTGTGGGGGTGTGTGTGTGTGTGTGTGTGTGTTAGGTGGTTATAGAGTTTTGTGAATAACTTGATTACAGTGATTTTAGTGGATTTGAGATGGTGATGAGATGCATTTGTGGATGTGAAATGTGATTTTTGTGTGTGTTCAGAAGAGGTGCGTTGGGGGATGGTGAGTGGATGTGAAGAAATGCGGGTGAGATGGAGAGGGTATGGGAGGGTTGTATTAGAAATATGGGGAGATTTTACTGAAAAAAAAGGTAATGTGTGAATATTTTAAAAGAAATTATAGAATTGAAAAGTTAAGATAAATTGGAAAAGAATGAGGGTGTTTGAAACATCTCGCAATAGTTGGGGTAGTGAGATTAGTTGATGCGAGTATAATATCAATTTATGTGGATACAAGGATATGGTATGGAGAGGATTTTATTTGAAATTTTAGTAATGTAAAGAGGAAAGTGTATTAAATTAAGATTCAGTAAAAAGAAAAGGGGGGAAAAAAAAGTGAATAAATTGGTAAAAGTAGTCGAACTCGAGTTGCTGAAAAGTGTTTATAAAGTGGTGTGGTGACTTTTTCTGATGAAATAGTTAAAACGAGAAAAATGTCTAGACTTGTGTTGTATTTTGTGAAGAAATTGTGGATTTTTGGGATTGGGTGTTGTGGGATGTGGGTGTTGTGGATTGTGGGCGTTGTTGTCGAACTAGAGATGCTGAAAAGTGGTTATAAGTTGTGGGATTTGTGCCTTTTTTTCTGATGAAATTAGTTAAAACGAGAAAAAAATTGTGGGTTGTTGGTGATGGGGGTTGTGGGTGATGTGGGTGTTGTGGTTGGGGGTGATTTTGGTGATGTTTGAGTGTATTCAGTGGTGTTTTGGGAGTACTCAAATGGTGTTTTGGAAGTGTTTCAGTGTTGTTTGGAAATGTTCAAAAGGTGTTTTAAAAGTTGTTCACATGACTGCAAAGAGTACTTATGAAGGTGTTCTGGGAGTAATCAGGAGGAGATTTTGGGGTGTTCGATTGATGTTTTTGGAGTATTCAAAGGCAATTGATGGGGTTTTTTTTTTTGTGATGTTCGAAGTAAAGTGTTTGAGTTAGATTTTGTGATACTGTTGTAAAAATCTGGAGACTGAGGGTGGAGTATGTGGGGATGAGTTGTAATTTAATGAAATGTGTAAGTGCAGATAAATTAGAGCTGTCAAATCTTATTTGGGAGTATTCAAAATGATATTTTGGAAGTGTTTCAGTGTTGTTTGAAAATGTTCAAAGGTGTTTTTTGTGAGTATTCAAATTATTTATGAGAGTGTGTGCGTATTAACTTTGTAATATGTAAAATTGTGACTAGTGAATTAATGGAAAAGCGGTTATAAGTGTTGTGGTGACTTTCTGATGAAATAGTTAAAACGAGAAAAATGTCAAGACTTGTGTTCTATTTTGTGAAGAAATTGTGGATTGTGGGATGTGGGTGTTGTGGGATGTGGGTGTTGTGGATTGTGGGCGTTGTTGACGAACTAGAGATATCGAAAAAGTGGTTATAAGTTGTGGGTTGTTGTGCCTTTTTCTGATGAAATTAGTTAAAACGAGAAAAAAATTGTGGGTTGTGGTTGTTGTGGGTGTTGTTATCGAACTAGAGTTGTTGAAAAGTGATTATAAGTTGTGGGTTTTTGTGACTTTCTGATGAAATTAGTTAAAACGAGAAAAAATTGTGGGTTGTTGGTGATGTGGGTTGTGGGTGATGTGGGTTGTGGGTGATGTGGGTTTGTGGGTGTTGTTGTCAAACTAGAGATACCGAAAAGTGATTGTAAGTTGGTTGTTGTGACTTTTTCTGATGAAATTAGTTAAAACGAAAAAAAAAAATGTGGGGTGTGGGTGATGTGGGTTGTTGTTGTGATTTTTTTCTGATGAAATTAGATAAAACGAGAAAAAATTGTGGGGATGTGGGTGTTGTGGGTTGTAGGTGATTTTGGTGGTGTTTTGAGTGTATTCAGTGGTGTATTTGGGAGTACTCAAATGGTGTTTTGGAAGTGTTTCAGTGTTGTTTGGAAAATGTTCAAAGGTATTTTTGTGAGTATTCAAATGTTTTATGAGAGTGTGTGCGTATTAACTTCGTAATATGTAAAATTGTGACTAGTGAATTTATCGAAAAGTGGTTATAAGTGTTGTGGTGACTTTCTGATGAAATAGTTAAAACGAAAAAAATGTCTAGACTTGAGTTGTATTTTGTGAAGAAATTGTGGATTGTTGTGGGTATTAACGAAAAAGTGTGAAATTATTTGGATTATCCTGGGTTAAGAGTAAAAATGTTTTCCCTATGTTGTATATGAAATGTGTAGGGGGGAAGTGGACAAGATTCAGCTTGTATGTGTGAGGTCATCACGTGACGTCACTGACCGCCGAGTAAACACACTTTTTAGTTCATTTAACTTAATGAGAGGAATACTGACGTCACACTTGTTTAGACCTGTAGTAAGAGAAAGTACCATGCCCCATAGGAGGAGTTCATTTGAATGCTTACCCCCAGAGGGGGGGAATCCAAAAACTTGATCCGAGGAGATGGAGTCTTGGTATTATCGAGAAAAACTTTGATCCAGGGAGATCATAAGAATTTCGAAACCCCATAGGGGGGGAATCCAAAAACTTTGATCTGAGGAATTGGAGTCTTTGTATTATCGAGAAAAAAATTGGGGTGGGGGTGAAAGTGGGAGGGGGAAACTCAAAAATTTTATCCGAGGAGAGCACAAGAAAATTAAAAAAAAATTGAAAAGAAAATCGGAAAAAAATTCGGGGCGCGGGGGCGATCCGGACGACGCTGCAGAAGGCGCAGCAGAAGGCGCGGGCGGGGGCGCGGGCGGGGCGCATGGGGCGCGGCAGGGCCGGTGGGTCGGCGCGACGGGGCGGGGGGGGGTGCGGGGGGGGTCATGAGTGGGGGTAGAGGGCGAGGTGGTCTCGAGGGGGAGGTGGTCTCGAGGGCGAGGTGGTCTCGAGGGGGAGGTGGTCTCGAGGGCGAGGTGGTCTCGAGGGGGAGGTGGTCTCGAGGGCGAGGTTAAGGTCATTAGCACATAGGTGTGAAAAGGAGACCGCTCAGAGGAGGGACCGCTCTGTAGAAGGGACTGCTGAGAGGAGGGACCGCTCTGTAGAAGAGACCGCTGAGAGGAGGGACCACTCTGTAGAAGAGACTGCTGAGAGGAGGGACCACTCTGTAGAAGAGACTGCTGAGAGGAGGGACCGCTCTGTAGAAGAGACCGCTGAGAGGAGGGACCGCTCTGTAGAAGGGACTGCTGAGAGGAGGGACCGCTCTGTAGAAGGGACTGCTGAGAGGAGGGACCGCTCTGTAGAAGAGACCGCTGAGAGGAGGGACCGCTCTGTAGAAGAGACCACTGAGAGGAGGGACCGCTCTGTAGAAGAGACCACTGAGAGGAGGGACCGCTCTGTAGAAACCAGTACTACTATATATATATAATATATATATATATATATATATAATATATAATATATATATATATATATATATATATATATATATATATATATATATATATATATATATACAATGAACTCAAAAACAAACTACAAAGAAAATTAGACATTTTAATTGAAAATAGTGATTGGACAAAGCATGCTAATAACAATTTTGTAATTAACTTATCAGATGAAATTTTAGACAAACACAACTGCTGCTCTAGGTTTTGGCCTAAGTTTTGCAACTTCAAAAAAACTTAATAATGTTGAAATTGCAAAAGTCTTTTGTAACTTTGAAAAATTTTCTGATTTATCCTCTGATGAAATTAATATTAGTAAAGGAATGGTATATAGCTCTATGTTAAAACAAAACATTAACAATTGCCCTCAAAGATTCTTTAAGTCTTATGATACACTTAATAATAATAAAAATTTGCGCCTTACTAAAGCAGACAAAATAAATGCAATAGTAATTATGAAAGAAAATGATTACCAAGGAAAAATGAATAATCTCTTAGATGATACTGAAACCTATTCTAAACTTAGGAAAAATCCCCTAGAAACCATTAACAGCAATTTCAATAAAACAATAAAACTTCTACTGAAAGGCAAAGATGAATTAGTCAAACAATTTACTTCCACTAATCCATCTTTACCTTACATGTATGGACTAATAAAAACACACAAACCAGGGAATCCAGTCAGAACCAATTATTAGCTCCATAGGGTCAGTTTCATATAATATATATATATATATATATATATATATATATATATATATATATATATATATATATATATATATATATATATATATATATATAATATATATATTACATAATAAATTCGAATAACGCATATTGAAAAGTATATAAATTACACGAATATTTTCGGTCTAAGAAGACCCCCTCCTTAGGTTATGTTAAATTAGTGGAAAGGAAGCAGCTCGTGTTTACAAACATTAGTTGAGAGGAAGGTCATGTTTACAAGCATTAGTTGAGAGAAAGGTCATGTTTACAAACATAAGTTGAGAGGAAGGTCATGTTTACAAACATTATTTGAGAGGAAGGTTATGTTTACAAATATTAGTTGAGAGGAAGGTCATGTTTACAAACATTATTTGAGAGGAAGGTTATGTTTACAAATATTAGTTGAGAGGAAGGTCATGTTTACAAACATTGTGAGAAGTTTGCTTACAAGGGCTTCAACTCAACTAGTTCTGCAGTGCCTGTGTAAATATTTGCATTATTTTTGTACTGCTAAATTTGCTTTATTTGTAGGTTAAGTATATTACCATTTTCTTAAGCTTATAAAGTTGCTTAGCTACGCTGGTCTCCGCTGATCCTTGAAGTGTCTGCGCTCCACCGACGGCAGCCAGAGCCATCAAGAAGTGTTGACCACTCTCGACCTCCTGAAGGTGCTGTACTCCCACTGGTAGTCCGAAGATTTCTGGCCTCTCAAATTCTGTAACTCCCTTCTCAGGAGAAATCACTGTTGTTAGTAAATGACCATGTTATAATGAAAATGCAGTATATGTGAAGATTACACTTATGTTGCATTGCAAACTGGCTGCGTAACTGCAAGTCACAAACTGCAAATCAGTTATTTGCTGCAAGATTTTTTCACAAACTGTCTCTATGAAGAACTGAAGGTTTATAAAGCCAGTCTGTGTCAGAAAGGTGCACCAATCAAAGCTGCTTTACAGTCAGTGCCATATATAATACAATAGACCCCTGGTTGTCTTCAAGAAGGCACTGGACAGGCATCTAAAGTCACTACCTGATGGACCGTACTTCAGTTTGCATGCGGCCAGAAGTAACAGCCTGGGTGATCAGACACTGATGAACCATGAGGCCTGGTCTCAGACCAAGATGCGGGGGCATTGACCCCCGAAACCCTCTCCAGGTAAACTCCAGGTAGCTATCAGAATTGTCTGCATAGTATAGATTACTGTTTTCTTTTAACATGTTGAATCCAATTAGCTTTTAAGCAGTCTATACTATACCTGTGGAAAATACTGTATATTTTTCAAAAATACAGTGTATTTTATATGTAAAATGATAGCCTATATTGTAGGTAATAAAAATTAATTTGTAAATATATAAAGAACCAGCGATGGGTGAGTGTCGCTGGGGAAGAGATGCCATTGTTTTGAATGTGGTAAAGGCATGTTAGTGAAATGTGCAGAAATTTTCGTCGCTCTAGTGGTTAAATTGGGCTTAAAACCTCTCAAATAGCAGCTGAAATTGTTGGATTTGCAGTCCTGCATAACGTGGGCATTAAGCAGATGGTCAGGACAGCTTTGGAACCCCAGCTAAGTCATGTTTATTTATGTTGAAATTCTGGCCAGTATTTTCTTCATATTTTAGGCAGGGGGGTTTTGAGGATGACGCATCATAATCTCAGACTAATTGGTGAGTTTTATTAATATAAATTCTCCTTCAATGTATATGTATTCACATTTTAAATTTAATATTCACTCCACTTATTTATATTAATGTTTTTACCAGAATTCCTGGTGAAGTATATTTCATTTGAAATTAAAATAGGTCCAGAGTGACTTGTGGAGAGATAGATTATCATAGGTATCGAAGGAGGACATTCTTGCGACCTAAGTGCCCTAAAATTCTTACTTGTCTCTGTAACCTTGATAAAGAATAATTATCTTTGTTACCATTTACTGGTATGTATCTTATGAGTTACATCCATGTAAATTTAATTTTCCACAATAGTTGCCTGTTGGTCCTTGATCAAACTGGATGTAATTAGTGAAGTTATTAATTAGTGAATTAATTACTTAATAATTATATGTGAAATGACAGAAGGTGGATGTTAGGTCCACAATTTACTTAATGTGTAGTGGATTATAATTATTACAATACTAAATTTGCTAAGCCAAAGTCTGGCTAGGATTTATATTAGTGTATTTGTATAATATTAATTTTGCTAAGCCAAGCCTGGCAAGGATTTATATTAGTGTATTTGTATAACATTAATTTTGCTAAGCCAAGTCTGCCTAAGATTTATATTAATGTGTATTTAAAATTTATATTATAATTTCCTTACATGAGCAATTACTAAGCTCAAGTGTAGCTAAGATTATTAATGTATATTTAAAGTTTACATTATAATTTCCTTACACGTAATTGCTAAGCTCAAGTAGCTAGGATTTATTCAAGGTAAGTTGCAATATTTACCTTTAAAAAGTGGATAATTAAGTACATAATCAGTGTTATTAGTTAAGTTGAATTTAATACATTACATCATGGGTGAAAATGAGGAAATTAATGTAGATGACAAGCATGGCATTTAGAGCAAAAAATAATCATTGCAGGCTAGAAAGAGTCATGTAACAAAGACATACAATAAATGTTTGGAATTAATGAATAAAGGAACTGTGAATACTGATGATTTAAAATTGTATTTAGATGCTTTAGAGAATAGATATGATTCATACAAATTATATTATAAAAAATATGAAGGAGATTTGTTAGTAAATTGTGGAGATGAGACAGAAATAAATCTTATGATTAACCAGTATTATGAATTAGAAGAAAAAATTCTTTCTTGTAAAAGTAAGGCTTTGAATAAATTAAAAGGCGTAAACCAGGCAGTTAATCAATTTATTCCAACAAATAAGATGTCTTTACCAAAACTCCCAGAATTATGTTTACCTGTATAATCCTGGAGAAAATTGGGAGGAGTTTTGGTCAGTTTTTAAAGCAGCTGTGCATGACAGGAGTGACCTAGCATGTGTAACTAAATTATTTTACCTAAAAGAACAGATATGAGGAGATGCTCACATACTCATACAAGCCTTTCCCAATGTAGATGACTCAAGGAAGCAGTTGACTTGTTGAAGGTCACTTATGGTAATATAGAACAAAATAGATTGGATCTAGTGAATATCATTGTTAATTTAAAAACTCCAGATCACACTTACAAAGGTTTACAGCAGTTTAGAGTTAAACTGGAGAGCACTCTCAAAACTTTAAGTAATAAATATAATCTGAAGGAATCAGACTGGTTATTGAGTGCCATTGTACAGAATAAATTAAGCTGTAAAACACTTGAATGATTCTCGAACAAGTGTCACAAAGATTATTTTGGTCTAGAGGAAATAAGACTAGCTCTACAAGAATTAATTGTTCAGTTGCAGACCAGCCAACCAACTCATTTTAAAGATGCAACACATAATAACTCTGAGGTATCTGTCAAGTTTCACAAGGGCAAAAATTATCCCAATGTTAATAATCAAAATTCATTTCCTAAAAAGAGTTGCATAGGTACATCCAGTAGCAGGAATCAGAAATAATGATTCTCCACAAGGTACGAAGAATAAGTACCCTCCTAAGAGTAGCCCAGTTAAATAAGAAACCAGTCAAGAAAAGAGAGATTGTCTTTTCTCAAGGGACTCCAAAAAGCAGGAGCCATGCTGGCACTGTACCACCCACCCTCACTACTTAAGTCTGGCTAACCGGTTTCCCTGAATTCCTCCATAAATGTTACTTTGCTTACACTCTAACAGCACGTCAAGTCATAAAAATAATTTTCCACTACTCGTCCCTAACACGCTCATGCGCAGCTACACGCACACACAAAACCTCCTTTATCACCTCCCTCCAAAGTTTCCTAAGATGACCCCCTACCTCGCCTTCCTTCCATAAGATTTATACACCTTTAAAGTTATTCTATCTTGTTCAACCCTCTCTAAATGTCCAAACCATCTCAACAACCCTTCCTCTACCCTATGGACAATACTTTTAGAAATCCTGCACCTCCTAATCTCCAGGCTATATCTTCCCTGCATAATATTCACATCTCCACTTCCTCCAGCTGTTTTCTTGTTGCAACATTCACCACCCATGCTTCACTCCCATATAGGAACTTTGGTACCATTGTACTCTCAAACATTCCTATCTTTGCTTCCATGGATGATATTTGTCTCCAGAGACTCCTTAGTACACCATTCATCTTTTTTCCCTCGTCAATTCTATGTTCACCTCATCTTTCATAGACCCATCTGCTGACACATCCACTCCTAAATAGTGGAACACATTCACTTCCTCCATAGTCCCTCCCTCCAATCAGATATCCAATCTTTCATGACCTATGTAAAGCTATATATATATATATTATATTATATATATATATATATATAAAATATATATATATATATATATATATATATTGGAGGCACTGCCTCCAACCGCCTCCTCGCTGCAGCATTTACAACCCAAGCTTCACACCCATATAAGAATGTTGGTATCATTATACTTTCATACATTCCCTTCTTTGCCTCCATTGATAACATTTTTTGTCTCCATATATACCTCAATGCACCACTCGTCTTTTTTCACTTATCAATTCTATGGTTAACCTCATCCTTCATAAACCCATCTGCTGACACATTAACTCCCAAATATCTGAAAGCATTCACTTCTTCCATACTCCTTGTCTCCAAAGTGATATCCAATGATTCTTTATCTAAATCATTTGATACCCTCATCACCTTACTCTTATCTATGTTCACTTTCAACTTTCAATGTTTACACACCCTCCCAAACTCGTCCACTAACCTTTGCAACTTTTCTTTAGAATAACCCCTATGCACAGTATCGTCAGCAAAAAGTAACTGTGTCAACTCCCATTTGGTATTTGATTCCCCATAATTTAATCCCACCCCTCTCCCCAACATCCTAGCATTTACTTCTTTTGCAACCCCATTTATAAATATATTAAATAACCATGGCGACATTACACATCCCTGTCTAAGATCTACTTTTACCGGGAAGTAATCTCCCTTTCTTCTACACACCCTAACTCATAACAGCATTTAGTAACTTTCTACCTATTCCATACACTTGTAACATCTGCCACATTGCTCACCTATCCACTCTATCATATGCCTTTTTTAAATCCATAAATGCAATGAAAAGTTCCCTTCCTTTACTGTTCACATATATGCTTCAGTGTAAACACTTGATCTACACATCCCCTACCCACTCTAAAGCCTCCTTGCTCATCCACAATCCAACTCTCTGTCTTACCTCTAATTCTTTCAGTAAGAACCCTACCATACACTTTCCCTGGTATACTCAGTAAACTTATTCCCCTATAAATTTTACAATCTCTTTTATCCCCATTCACTTTATAAAAAGGAACTATACATGCTCTCTTCCGATCCCTAGGTACCTTCCCCTCTTCCATACATTTATTAAACAAAAATTCCAATCACTCCAACACTCTATCCCCCCCTGCTTTTAACATTTCTGTCATGATCCCGTCAGTTCC